CCTGAGACCCCCTCGAGCAGGGCCCGCGAACCCGACGACACGAACGCGAGTGGCCAGGAACAAGGGCTCTATTTTTTAATGACGCCCGGGAAGGGCTAGCCCACAGGGACTTTTTTGTCATGTCACGCTCACCAGGTCCCCGTCGGGGAAATTTCGACAGGGAGCCACTGTTCGATGCGAGGATCGAACAGTCGTGCGGTGGCGTACGGACCCTGCGCGATTTTTCGAAACGGAAGGCCCGAGAGGGCCTCGAGTCCCGCGCGCGTACAAGTACGAGCGGCGCCCTGGGCATTAACGATGCGTTCTGCGTTTTTGCTAGGGGATGCTGCCCGACGGAAGCCTCGCACCGCCACGGTCGTCACCAACACCACCCCGCACAGCTGGAGCGCCATAGCTGGCAAAGAGTAGGGACAGCCATTCCTCACCGCGCTCATTTCCTGGCACTGACGCACCCCGCATACCCTCGTATCTCCCTCCACCTTCGAAGTCGCTGTCCATGTCATATTCGACGTCGCGTGTCGACACTTCCGGCGCCCACCACTCCACGCACTACCCTCACAAACACAAAGCACTCCACGCAGCACACTCGCGAACAAAAAGCACAAGCCAAAAGATCGACAGAGTGCTGTCTCGATTGACGGCGCGGATCGCGCGAATCTCCACTCGACAGTATCACACGGTGAGTGCGCCCGCAGCCGGGACGTGTGTGTGTTTGTGTGCGCGTGCGGGTGGGTTTTCTGATGATATGCTCGCGCAGATTGAAAGAGTTCTTGTTTGGGTGTGTGCGGGTGGATGTGTGCGTGTGTGTGTGTTTGTGTGCTAGTGTGTGTTTGTGCGTGCGCGTGTGTGTCTGTATGATTGTTTTTGTGTGTGCGTATTCGAGTGAGTGTTTTATTGTGTGTGTGGTTGTATGACATGTATGCCACAGGCGCGAGGAAGGATCGTGCGCGTGTCAGGATCTGAGGGGCGTGCGTGTGTGTGGGCGGTGTGTGCAGGCGCGCATGTGTGCGTGTGTGCGTGTGTGCGTGTGTGCGTGTGCCTGTCTATGCATATTTTTGCGCGTGTGTGAGTGATTGAGCACATTGAACGCGCGGAGATGCGCGCGAAGGTGTGTGGTCTGGGATGATTGACATGTTTTGCACTTCCACTCTGCTTCTGCTGCAATCGGGGTTGAGAGGTGCTAAATACCCAACGATTGTGCAGGTTTTAACGCAGAACTGTATTCCGGTGTGCTCCTGAGGTGATTGACTGGCGAATCACGAAAGGTCGTATCGAACACGTGGAGGCCAATCACGAAACACAATCACATCTTGAGCACTTACCACACTCGACATGATCCTTTGTGCTGTCCCAATGTCATATCCGCCGATCTGCCCAATGGATGATCGATCAAAACACGCGGTGGCAATGTCGACACAGCGAACGCATCCGTCGACCAAACGCGAAACACGATAAGGTCAATCGTGATCGATTCAACCGACCAACAGAGAAAGCTCCGCTCGAACACGTGGTGACAATGTCTAGAACATACACTCGATGAACCGACCCATCATGAAACATAAGCCGACCACTCGCAATCGGGTGATCGATGCTGTTTGATGTCGCAACAATATCGCCCCTGATCCGCCTAACGGATGATTAATTAGTGCACGAGGACACAACATCTGGATCGCAAACGCATCCATCCGACGGATCGCGAAACGCTAACAGATTACTCGTGATCGGTCGATTGATCGTGTGGGCTGTCCCGACGTTGTCATCGCGTGTGTGTCTCGCTTGTCTCAATGGCAACATCAAAACCGCGACGATGTGCGTGTTTGTGTGTGTGTGCGTGTGCGTGCGAGTGCTGTTTTAGCACCGTGACCTGTTATGTGTTCCTGCAGGCAATGTGTGTGTGCGTGCGTCTGTGCGTCTGCGTGTGCGCGTGCACGATCAACCGGTCGGCGAGCGAACAGTCGAGTGGTCAGGAGATCTGCCATGATCGCTTGTTTGATCGGGTGCTCTGTTGGCGGTTGCTCGAGTGGTTGATCAACCAGCACACCAACCGCCAACCGAGCACCCGATCAAACAGTTGATCCTGGCAGATCTCCTGACCAATCGAGTGTTCTGTCGAAGACTACCAACAAGTTCGATAGACCGGTCGCTCGCCGACCAGATCATCAATCTCCAGACGTTGGAAGTAGCGGCATCGAGCGACCGATCTGCGACAAATCCGTTCTTCGCAGAGAATCCTCAAGGCAATTGATCATGTGCCCGCGAACGGATCGCAAAAGGCAATTGATCATGTGCCCGCGAACGGATCACACAATGTTGTTGCTCATCGAACCTTGTATAACATCGAACCATGTTGGGCATGGAACCTGGCTTCACATCAAACCTCGGCGGGCGTCGAACCTCGTCGGACGTCGAACTTTGGCGAACTGATCGCGCAATCAAACTGAACTGATCGTGCAATCAAACACCGCAAGAAGTTCGCATTCCGGTGAGCTTGTGCACCTGTTCGAACACGTTTCGCAACCCCGCCCCACAACCACAGCCGAGGATGTGTAGGAATTTGGAGTCCGCCGGGATCTGAACTTCAAGAAATTGTTGGACGGTGAGTTTGGCAGACAGGTGTGCCTCTCCCACGCAATTTCGCCAAGGTCGGATTCCGGCGAACTTCATGTTCCTGCCTTTCGGAAGACATGTTTGCGGCCCGCCTGCAGGGCTATGGATCCGAACCTCGCTTGCAAGGTTCCTGGTACAATCGTCAAGTCCAGACCTCGGTGAACTTCGGTTTGGTGAAAATGCGAAGTCCGCTGGACTTCTCCTGCACAGTTCCTCGCACATACGTCAAGTTCGGACCCCGACGAACTTCGCTTTTCGCATTGTTTGGGTTCAGAATGCGGACTTGCTGGCGCCTAGGGGATTGCCCCAACTTTGGGTTCTTAAACACTTGAAGTCCGCTGGGATCCGTCGAACTTGAGATTTCCTCCTTTCACAATTCATGTTTCCGGCCCGCCTGCTGGGCCATGGATCCGAACCTGCCGTGCACGGTTCCTCAGGCGGACTTCGGATTCGATAAAATGTGAAGTCCGCTGGGATCCGAACTTCTCGTGCACAGTTCCTCGGGAGGCCGTCAAGTTCGGACCGAGGCGTACTTCAAATCTCGGGTGGTGTGGGTTCTAAACAATCCCGGTCGTGCTAAGGAATTTCCTATACAGTCCCGTATGTCGGACACTTTCTCTTCGACCTCACGATGCAACGAAAAGTTTTGGACCCACCCTACTATCACCAAATCGCGCGACCCATCTACACGTACAGGCCCGCGCGTCCGCACGAATTTGGATCCCTCAATCACCACCTCGTATCGTGACACAAGCGCAACTGCATCGACGAGTTTCCTGCTGTTGTTCGAGGCAGCGAGACATAGAACTCTGGCGAAATCAGTCCCCGACATAGTCAATCGCACACAACAGTATGACACAACTTGTAGAAAATTCTCAGGGCACCGGAGCGGGTACTGCTCCAGGAACGAGCAGTGACGAGCGCAGTCCACCAACTCTTGTTTCCGCGAGCCTCCCCAAGTTCGTGGCGACGACCTGACGTAGTGGCACTCGACGCGGCTGAAATGGCGGCTAATGCAGCCAAGTGCTCTGTGGATATGGTTCAGGAACCTGTGTCCGAGGACAGCGTTAGACACCGGGATGAGGTTCCCGAACTCCAACATGTTGGCGAACTTGTACTGGCTCGCCCATGGACAGCGACTCTCCATCGTGGCCCAATTCCCATCGCACCAACCGTCAATATGCAGTCCCATGCACGGGACGACGGTCATCCAGGGGTCCTCGTCGAAGTCCTCCGCGGTCTCTCCGTGGATCGTAGTCACACCATCAAAATACCGCACGGATCTCGCGCAAGGACGAAACGGTTCTGCCAAGCGAATGTGCATCTCGGGACTCATGGTTAGTGGTGTCGAGAACATCGACTCCATGATCGGTAGACGAACCGCAGATCCACGTATACGGATCATCAATGAATGCTTTGTATGGCTTCGGTTCACGACGTCGTCCCAGGGGAACCCCAAATATCGGCTCTTCTGAACTGGTGGTCAGACCTGGTGTTTAAGGGAAAAGAACGGAGAGGTATGAGATGTCGTTTTGCTGCCTACAATATTAGATGTGTAGCAGTGGAGGGAGGTGTGAGAGGTAACACTTGCTAGAAGACGCTACACCGCACACTTGTCGTGCAAATCCCTGATCATCGATCAGTTCAACAACCGCCGAAAATCATGTTGGAGGTCTATCTCTGACGCCGTCTCCTTCCATGTCGCGCCCGGGCGAAGTTCGGATCCCAGCGAACTTCGCGTTTTGGGTTGTGCGTTGGTTTGTCTTTCGTACTGCTGGCGTCGGGCGGACCGCAAGAGCCGCCCGGCACCACGAGCACGGTCTTGCTTGAGGCCGCGGCCTTCGAAAAGGTTGAACGACCAATTACGCCCGCCGACGTTCGCAATCAGAGACCGCCGCCAACCGAACTTCATCAACACTATCCGTGTTCGGTTGTCGCCCGACCACCATCGACATGTGCCAAACAATCGATCATTGTCGTTGCGAAATGCCAAAAGCACTCTTAGGGATCCCAGTCGCGAAATGCGAAAAGCACTCTTAGGGATCCCAGGTTCGAATGAGCGCAGGGTCGCGCGAGCTTCGCGTTTACTGAAACCCGTAAGATATCCCGGTTGACAGGCCCTCTTGTTGCATCTGGATCTGTTTTTGAGCATAGACGGACTCAATGACTACTGGCATCAAAACCTGCGGTCAGCTGTGAGACCGAGGGTTCTCCCACCATAACCTTGCTCGGACCCCAACTTTCGTCCAACCTCATACGTGATCCAGTGTTTATCTCTGTGTATCTTTCTCGCGGCGTCCTGAAGTTCGGATCCCGGCGAACTTCCTGAGACGCCTGTTTATTGGACAGACACTAGTCTTCCGGATCCCCCGTGGATTGCGACAACAGCTCCTCTCCGCCCTGCTCCACACGTATCGTTCTGCCCCACCAGGGACCCATACAATGTTGTCACGGCTGTTGCGCATATCAGAAGAAGTTCGAATTTCGGCGAACTTGTCCTTCTCAACCGGCCTCTCATTTCTGTGTGGCATTTCCAGGCCGCGGTTGAGTACATGGACCGTGTGTCTCTGACGCCGTCTCTGACTGTCGCATCGTCCTGAAGTTCGGATCCCGGCGAACTTCACTTTTCGGGAGGTGCGTTGGTTTGTCTTCGGACATGCCCGTCCGTTGGTTCGCACAACCCGCCCGGCGACGGGGAGAGTCCGTCTCCGGCTTCTGGTTTTTATTAAATGCAGTTGCGGAGTATGTTTGCTTGAGCCCGGTTCTGGAACGCCGGCTACATGGGCTGGCTGTTTCTCTCTTTCTGTCGCACCGTCTATTTGGTCGGGACCCTGGCAGACTTCGTGTGCTAGCCTGTTCGGGTTCCGAGTGCTAAGCGGAGGACACCGCCCCGTCCAACGCGAACTTCGAAAATGACCTCCCGTTCATTCCCCATGTGGTCGGCATCTGTGTTTCGGAAATACCGATGTGGTTGTCGCCCGGCCGCATGACGTGTGTCCCTTTTTAAGGATTGATCTCGTTGCAGGTAAGAGGTCATTAAAGGTCTTCGCGTCCAAAGTTCGTCGGGATCTGAACTTCGAGGTTCCGGAACGGTTGGGCGCAATGTTTGCCGCCCGTGTTTTTTGCCTGCGTTGTGTTTTGTCTGCGACTTGACGCTCTTTGGTGGTTCATTTGTTTTCCGTTGTCGTCCGCAGACAAAATGTCTTCATTGAGGGGCGAGGGGGAGCCTGCAGCGACCTCCTGGATGGGATCAGGGAAAGATTCCACAAAACGTTCGTCTACAACCTCGAGGTCGTGGTCGGACCACGCAAGGTCGAAATGGTTCGTCGACTGGTGTTGTGGTGATGCTTCGAACCCAGTTCAACAATCGTGTGGTCCTATGATCTTCGTCGAAGCCAACAAGCGCCGCAGGGTTCTGGGGGCTGTCTTGTGGTGGGAGAATGCGAAAGGCAGTCGTCGGCGGTTCTACATGAAAAATGTGTACGGTTCGAAGGGGAACGTCGTCGCCGGTGCCAAGGGGGCAGTTCTCGACATGTGTTTGTTCGAGGGGTTCGGAGCGGGTGCTGCGAACACCCCGTTCTACAACGACCTCCGGCGGCATGGCGGGTTTGTTTTGGGTCGAGAGTTCTTCGACTTGTTGGAGGACAAGGACATCGCCCTCGACGTCCCTTGCAAAGTCGGCCCCGACCTGGAACTGTCAACGCCTTTGCAGTTGTGCGACGGTTGTGAGTCAAGCGGGGCAGCGGGGGAGGGGGGGGATCTGGGTTCCGGCGAGGCTACACATGTGCAGCGGGAGGATGCCAGAGGTCAGTTTGATGACAGCGAAGATGAGGCAACACCGTGTCCGCCGTTTTCGACGTCGAGGGAAAAAGACCGGTCCGTGCTGTCCATACCTGGGGTCCGACAAGAGGTCGCAGCGGATCCCGGAGAAGAGGCAGTCCAGTGTGGGTCCGACTTGGAGCCCGGCGAGGGCCATGGCGCGGACAACAACGCCGTGGGCGGTGAGGGAGCGCAGGGGACTCCCCAAAAAAGAAGGGGAGATTGTCAAGAGGACTTGGTAGGCTCTTCGAAGAAACAGAAGACCAGGACCCCGAAGACTACGGAAGAGAAACGGAAGGGAAGGGGGGTGGAAGAGGACCACCCGGGTAGCAAACGTTCGGCTTCAAAACAGAAACAGCCTGCGTCAGGACCTTCCACAACGAGGCCTGCCATCGACGTGGACGCCAGGTACTTCCTGGAGTACAAAGACGGTGTCAGGACAAGGCGGGAGTTTGAGATTAGCCCGACTCAGATCGTAGACCTCGGGGAGTGGGAGGATCTTTACAACCAGCGATCTCTGGATCCAGTCCTCGTGGGAACGATAAAAGAAGCAATGCAGTATGCGTTCGAAAATAAAGAGCAGACGTACGAGTTGTCGATCTTCAAACTCGCACCACTGGGGCTTCAAAAACCAACTCTCGGGACCAAGGCTCAACGTCTGAAGCCGGAGGAGTGGAAGGACGAGCTGGCAGGAGAATACTACTACTACGCGGTGTGCGGGTAGCATAACGCGGCTGCAGCCCGGTCGCTACTCGCGAGCGAGGTGGCCAAGAAGTACAATTTCGAGCGGTGGCCGGCGCGAATGCTTTACTTTTCGGACGACGACTTCGAAGGGTATTTTCTTGTTAGTTCATAGGACAACAAGGACCTAAAGGCGCCTCCCAGATAGTTGAAACTGTCTATGAAAGACATTCGGTGGCAGTGGAAGCATGACGGTTGCCCGAGAGCTGTGATGGGGAACCCTAGCGGGAAACAAGATCAGGTCCGGGTTTGGCGTAAGTTTTGTACAACGACGCTCTATAAGGCGCCTCACAACAGCTTGTGGATTCTCGCGGATCAAAAGGAAGAGGAGACCCTTAAGAAGCAAAATGCTGCCCTGCGTTTTTTTTTCCCTCTCGCGATGGCCGGAGAAAATGTCTGGAAACTGGCCGTGGAATTTTTCGAAAAATGGGAGACGGGTAGATTGCTGAGCCATGACGGAGCGAAGTGGATCGTGAAAAAGAAGAAGGTAAAAAATATCAAGCCTGGGGTCGCCTACATCCACAACGACAAGTCGGGCAGAACTGAGGTCGTGTACAACGTCCCCGTGGATCCACCAAATAAGAAAGGCAAAAAGGAGAAAGAGGAGGGTGATTGGTTCGTGCAAGTGCCCGACCCAGACGCGCATTGTTGGGAAGCAATGGAATCACTCACGGACAATGAGAAGTGTCGCGTTCTTAAGAAGGTGCTTGCTTGTGAGGTCGTTTGGGTCCAGGCCGGCTCCCCGTCGTTGGCGAAGTTGGGGAAGCTCAGCGTGCAGGACATGGTGCAGCTGGTGAAGTGCGACCGTGTGTTGGTCCGGTTGTGGAATTACCACCAATTCAAACACCAGAAGAGGCCGAACGCGGATTGGATCCAAAGGTACCCTTTCCTGAGGTCTGCAGTGTTCAGGAAGTTTGAAAGTCAAGGATTGGATGACGAGTTGTGGGATAACAGCAGGAAACACGTTTCCGACTCGGTGCTGTTCAAGGATTGCCCGCCGTACATGGGTTGCGACCATGACAACGCGATTGAGGTGACAGAGAAGTTGGCAGGACACAAGAAGTTGTCCGTCGACTGGAGAAACAAGGTTCTCTCCGTGTTGAATGGTAGCAGACTGAAGAGCCGGAAGGTCGCCCTTGTCGAAGGCATTGTTCACATTAAATGGAAAGACACGGGGGACGTGATATCCATCGCGTCGTTCGCTAACGACCCTTTGGAGGCGTACACGAGGGGCGCAGAGCTGAAGGAAGCAGTGGCTTCCTACGTTGCGATTCGTACTCACCCCCGTACGAGTACAAGTTGTACTCATTTTTTGTACGCTACTTGTACTCAAGGCCCGTACGAGTTTTTTTAATTTTTTTTTACTGTTTTTATTTTTTTCTCCAATTCTAATAAGAATCTGCAGATGATGCTCAGGCAAAAGTTGCTTGTCCTAGGATTTTACATCACATATATTTTTTTCGGATTTTTTGGATGACTT